GCGAGAGGTCCTAGCGCCTCGCGAGATCCGCGGCGCTTTTAGCGCTTCGCGCGCAATTAATTTGATTTGAATGGTATAATTGTTGTCGCGGGCCCCGGTACAAGGGCTCGTTGGAGGCTCCACTGTCGTTGGTCCTCTTCAGAGGGTAGCGTTGCTCGGACTTCCGTCCTCCTTCCTGGGACGCGGGTGAATTCCCCTGGTATCGTCCTTTCAAGCGCTATTATCTCCTCCGTTCGCTGTCGTTAAGCGTCTTGCTGCAATCTTCCTTGATGTGCTTCCGGTCCTCCGGATCTTCTCCGGCGAGGTGCCCGTTGTCGTTTTTGGCAAACAAACAAAAGTCGATACAATTAATAACAAATCTTAATAAACTATCGATAGCGCTCGTCTCTCCGGGGATTTTTAGATAACGCTCTCTCGAGATTGATTCTGGCGCGGCCGCTCGGCCTGCGCCCCGTAAAATCTCGGGGCGGATGGACGCTTTAAAAGGACGGCAACGTCACAATATATATAAGTACTGATTTATTAATTTCTATTATATTTATTAATTTCTATTGCAACTTTTATATGATATTTGTTTCTAATTATAAAATTTTGTTACAGTTCTTATGGTGAATTGAACAGCGAGACTATGCATGCATGTGAGCCAGGAATAAGGCAATGGGATACGTATGAATTGTCATGGGGCATAATATAAGGGTAAGTCTTCCTTTTTTATTTATTGATTTTAATATCTCTTTATATGTTTTTGAGTTTATGATCATTTTGATTGAATATATATATTTTTATGATTCAATTTAATTTTTTTTCTATTTTACATTATGAAAGATATGCATATATATATTTTTGTACGTATATGTATTTTTTGATGTCTATTAATGATATAACATTAGTGAGGGATGTTTTATTAATGTTTAATTATAAGAATGGGGGTTGATGTATTAATTTAGTACATACTCTAGTTTTATACGAGTATGAATTTAGAACTTCCTTCTGCCTTTAGGCCAAGCGCGAATGTTGAAAATTCCAATGGGAGAAACGCGGAGCTGGCATTGTATATTTGTTCGACTCGTCGAGTGCACGTGCACAAAATTTTACGCTCAACAATATTCGTAAGTATACATTAATTCACTGTTTTCTTCGTGTTTTCGCGTTTCATTCTCTTTGATTTACTAATGTATGCATATTAAGTGTAGTAAGAAAGCGTTATTATTACATTTATTGTCATAGCTTTTTATTTTCGTCTAATGAATTTAGCGTTTTGATTCTAAAAATTGAGTGTCATTTTGTACGTTATACACCTTAACATTATTTGTTTCCTTATAAATTTTGATTCTATATTATTAAATCTGTATATGTGCGTATACACATACAGGGTGTCCCATTTTAATGCCCCACCCCAAATAACTTTCTTATTTTTAATTTTAGAAAAAGATGTTTCAGACAAAAGTTGTATGGTTTCGAGGGGGACATAAGATGGTACCATTAATTTGATCTTGAAGAGTCACATGAAGGTTACGTGAAGATCATTTTCAATTTCTTAAATGGAACACCCTATATATTTTTGCATATTCTTGTAGCTTATCTCGAGAGCTTTCCAAAACACTATAAATAAACATTTTTTCATCAAGTACGTTTCGAGTAATGAGGCTTGAAATCATTTCTTAATTTTACATAAACCATAAAATATCTTGTAAAATATTCATTTTTTGATTATCTTACCTTAATACTTTTATGTACAAAATAATGAGAGAAATCAATTGGTGTAAAGAAAACATACAGTTGTTTTTAAGAAAAAATATATAATTGTTAATTGCAAATTACATATTTTTTCTTAAAAATAACTATGTGTTTTCTTTACACCAATTGATTCCTCTCATTATTTTGTACATAAAAGTATTAAAGCAAGATAATCGAAAAATGAATATTTTACTAGATATATTACGGTTTATGTTAAATTAAGAAATGATTTCAAGCTTCATAACTCGAAAAGTACTCAATAAAAAAATATTTTATTATAGTGTTTTGGAAAGCTCTCGAGATAAGCTACAAGAATGTGTAATGAGAAAATGTAGATTCCATTTAAGAAATTGAAGGTGACCTTCATGTGACCTTCAAATAACTCTTCAAGGTCAAACCAATGGTACCATCTTATGTCCCCCTAGAAACCATACAACTTTTGTCTGAAACATTTTTCTCTTTCAAGCTTGGTTTTCGAAATATTCGATTGGATGGATTAAAATGGGACATCCTGTATATTTATGTATACACAGATGTATGGATGCACATGTATAAATGTACATGTATTTTACATTTGTACATTTATATTTATGTCCGTTGTAGCTATAATTTCCGTTTTAATATCGTTATTTTATTAATTCAGGTAATACGATTGCTAGAGAACACCCATTGAGTAGGAGCATGAATATAGGGTGTTCATATAATCTCGGCATAAAGGAGCTCACTGGTAAGTAATGTTTCTTTTTATAATATCATTATGAAAAATGTTTTGGTTTTATACATATCAGTCAGTGGTCCGTTTTAATTATTTATATGGAACTTTTGCATAGGTTTTGTAAAGTAGATATACTTATTTATTATTATTTCTTTTTCTTTATTATTTATTATATTTATTTATTATTAATAGAGTTTAATTGTTATATGATTTAATTCTGTAGTTAGTTTACTGTATGTATTTTTATATTTTAATTTCTTTTGTTAATATGTATTATTTTATGTTTCGTGTTGTATTAATGCTGTTGATCAATAATTTATTTTATTTTAATTAACGATTTTCTTTATACTTGACCATATGGAATTATTATTAACTTTGTTAAATGACTTCCAGGTTGCATTGAAGATTTTATTCCTGGTTATGGAGAGTAAGCTGTTTTGGACACAACTGCATTCTGCACGGGGAATTATAAGTTTTAAAAACGGTAATATTTATTTCCTCAAAAATGCATGTTGATAACTCTGAGAATTTTATTATATTAAATTTATTATTGGCATAGAGTGTATTTTATAACGTATATTCGTCTTATAATATTGAATATGATTTCAAATTCTAAATTGATTAATGTATTGTGGTTTAATTATTTTTTCTTTTGATTTAGTTGGTTATTTTATTTTATTTTTATAAATAGTTATATTGAGAAATCATCAAGTATTTTATTTTCATAAAATTTTAATATATACATATATATATGTATACAGGGTGACCCATTTTAACATAGGCAGCCAAATAACTCGAAAAATAAGCACACTACGAAAAAATGGTTAGAATCAAAATTTCGTCATTTCGAGGGGGACGTACAATGACGTTAAAATCAGCCCCCCACCCCTCCCCCCGGGCGATGAGGGGGGGGGAAGTTTGAAATCTTAAATGGGAACCCTTATTTTTTATTGCATATTCCTGTAGCTTATCTCGAGAGCTTTCCAAAACACTATAATTAAGTACCTTTTTATTAAGTACTTTTTGAGTTATAAGGCTTGAAATAATTTCTTAATTTTACATAAACCATAAAATATCTAGTAAACCATTCATTTTTCGATTATCTTACCTTCATACTTTTATGTACAAAATAATGAGAGGAATCAATTGGTGTAAAGAAAACACATAGTTGTTTCTAAGAAAAAATATGTAATTTGCAATTAACAATTCCATATTTTTTCTTAAAAACAACTGTATGTTTTCTTTACACCAATTGATTCCTCTCATTATTTTGTACATAAAAGTATGAAAGTAAGATAATCGAAAAATGAATGGTTTACTAGATATTTTATGGTTTATGTAAAATTAAGAAATTATTTCAAGCCTTATAACTCAAAAAGTACTTAATAAAAAGGTACTTAATTATAATGTTTTGGAAAGCTCTCGAGATAAGCTACAGGAATATGCAATAAAAAATAGGGGTTCCCATTTAAGATTTCAAACTTGCCCCCCCTCACTGCCCAGGGGGAGGGCTGGGGGGGCTGATTTTAACGTCATTGTACGTCCCCCTCGAAATGACGAAATTTTGATTCTAACCATTTTTTCGTAGTGTGCTTATTTTTCGAGTTATTTGGCTGCCTAAGTTAAAATGGGTCACCCTGTATATATATATATATATATACATGTATATTTTATGTATGTGTTTGTCCATATTTCAAACATGAAAGATATCCATTGATTTTACTCATTTCTTATAATGCAATTTGTTGGTTATACTATAATAAGGGTCTCTTGTTAAATTTAACAATTTTGCATATATTTTCATTATTGATTTATTTAATTATGTATATATTAATTTTCATATTTATAGTTAATTATGTATATATTAATCTTCATATTTATAGTTTGGTTCAATTATTAAGATGTTGTATCAGTATTTATTTAGAATGTTAAATATATTTATAATTAGTATATAACTTTATATTAATTAAATGATATTAGTTCGTAAATTCATAGACGTTAAACGATGTTAGTTTCATTGGTAATTATAGATCTTTAATTTGTGTATATATACAGGGTGGGGCATTTATCTTGAGACAAGATAATATCTCGATTGGAGTCGATTATTTTGAAAAAAGTTTTAGACAAAAGTTGTAGGGTATTGAAGAGGCTATCGAAAGGTCCATATTACAACTTCCGGTCTAGACCGGAAGTGGCGTTTTTTGATCAGAATTCGTTTTTTTAAATGGAAACACCCATTTTTGCCGCGGATTTCGATTGGAAATCGAAAAAAAAATACTTTTTGTTCTTATTATTTTTTCGATTTAACCCATATTTTGGCCATAAAAAACAAAAAAACACAAAAATCTTGAGATAACGGAGTACCTTATTGGAATCCCTTTTTTAACTTTAAGGTTGAAAAACTGTACAACTATTAACTACTTTTAGCACTACCCAGGAATAACGACGTGGACGTAGTAGTTTTTTATCCCCTTTGGGGTGCTTGTTTTAGGTGAGTCCCCTTGCCTCTCACAATTTGGTATGATTATCTTATCTGTTTGAAATTAATTTAATTTAATAAGTGCTCAAATTGGCGACCTTCGACTTCAATGCACTTATTGATCCGAACTTCCATAGATCGTACACAACTGCGGAGTACATCAGGTGATATTTTGGCACAAGCATTTCGGATTCGTTGCATCATATTTTCACGAGATGTTGGCACTTCTTTGTAAACTTCGCTCTTTATATAACCCCATAAATAAAAGTCTGGAGACGTAAGGTCTGGAAATCTTGCTGGCCAATTTACTGGACCCCCTCTACCGATCCAGCGTCCATTGAATTCGCGATCCAAAACTTCACGAGCAGTTCGGGAGTAATGCGATGGACATCCATCGTGTTGAAACCACATTTGTTGTCTTACATTTAAGGGTACGTCCTCAAGTAAAAGCGGAAGTTGATTTTGTAAAAAATTACGATATGTTTCGCCGTTTAAATTGCCTTCAATGAAGTATGGACCTACTATCTTGTCACCAACTATTCCACACCAAACGTTCACAGACCATTGACGCTGATGCTCAACTTCACGTAACCAATGTGGATTTTGAATACTCCAGTAGTGCATGTTATGTCTATTAACCGTGCCGTGGTTCGTAAAAGAGGACTCGTCTGAAAATAGGACTTTAGCAAAGAAATTAGGATCTTGTTGTATTTGTTGACATTCCCATTGACAAAAGATAACGGTTCTGAAAATCATTATCATGAAGTTCTTGGTGCAACGAAATGTGATAGGGATGATATTTATAACGTTTTAATATCCTGCCTACACTACGTCGCGAAATTTCAGAATCGCGTGTAATTTGTCGAATACTGACATGAGAGTCAACATTTACTGCAGCTAATACATCAATTTCATTGTCAGTTCCAGTAACTAGGTTTCGACGGGCTCTTTTTCTCTTAGACACACTTCCCTCTTGTAGAAATTGTGTAACAACCCGATAAAAAGATGCTCGAGATCGCACGTTATCCGGAAAACGTTCAGCATAAAGTGTAACGGCATCGTCAACATTTCTACCACATTCACCATAAATAAGAATCATTTCTATCTTCTCTTCTACAGAAACAGCCTCCATTTTAAAAAAAGTTTTGCACTGACAAAATTTGAAAAGATAATCTGATTTCAGAAAAAAAATTAGGATAAATGAAATGGGGTAAATATCCCCTATATTAAATTTAAAAACTCACGAAAAAAGAAGACGAAAATACAAAAAAATGTCATTTATGCCTTTTCAAAGTAATCCGTTAAATCTTTTTCTAGTTTATTAAGTTTAGATTAAAAATCACCACCCCATGAAAAAGTAGTCTGTACTTTACATGTGATATATGCTATCCAAAGTGTTTTGGCCTCCTGGACACAACCCCAACAAAATACTCCGTTATCTCAAGATTTTTGTGTTTTTTTGTTTTTTATGGCCAAAATATGGGTTAAATCGAAAAAATAATAAAAACAAAAAGTATTTTTTTTTCGATTTCCAATCGAAATCCGCGGCAAAAAATGGGTGTTTCCATTTAAAAAAACGAATTCTGATCAATAAACGCTACTTCCGGTCTAGACCGGAAGTTGTAATATGGACCTTTCGATAGCCTCTTTAATGCCCTACAACTTTTGTCTAAAACTTTTTTCAAAATAATCGACTCCAATCGAGATATTATCTTGTCTCAAGATAAATGCCCCACCCTGTATATAATTATTCATTTGTCTTATTCTAGACGTTAATTTGTTGAGGTTCCTGAAATTGTTATACGTATATATATAATGAATTATTATATTAGAAAATTTTATGAATATGGCATTTATATTGAGCTTATTATATTTAGCACCTATTAATTATTTTGTTTTTCTTTTTATAGATTCCTTCAAGGGGATGCCAATGTGTGTATATACATATATATATCGAAAAAGAACTTGTGGACCATCGTTTCGACATTTTAATAACCATAAAGGTTAAATACATATGTGTATATAAGTAAGCTAAACACTTTCTTTCTTTTTATTATTATTTTATTATATATGTTGTGACGTTGCCGTCCTTTAGAGCGTCCATCCGCCCCGAGATTTTACGGGGCGCAGGCCGAGCGGCCGCGCCAGAATCAACCTCGAGAGAGCGTTATCTAAAAATCCCCGGAGAGACGAGCGCTATCGATAGTTTATTAAGATTGTTATTAATTGTATCGAATTTTTCTTTGTTTGTAATAAACGACAACGGGCACCTCGCCGGAGAAGATCCGGAGGACCGGAAGCACATCAAGGAAGATTGCAGCAGGACGCTTAACGACAGCGAACGGAGGATAATAGCGGATGAAAGGACGATACTATGGGAATTTACCCACGTCCCAGGAAGGAGGACCAAAGTCCGATCGACGCTACCCTCCGAGGAGGACAGACGACAGCGGAGCCTCCAACGGGCCCTTGTACCGGGGCCCGCGACAGCAATTATATAATTCAAATCGAATTAATTGCGCGCGAAGCGCTAAAAGCGCCGCGGATCTCGCGAGGCGCTAGGACCTCTCGCGTGCCGTATCCTGATTGGCCGCGGGGCTGCGCACCCCACTAAGCGGTCATTGACGCCGCTATCGACCCCTGGCCGCGAGATCCCAGGATCATTCTGGTGCGGACGCTCATTAGTAGCAGTCGAATTGTAGTCTCGTTGAAATTAATTGTGTGTCGTTGCTGCCGAGAGACCGAGCAGAGGACGAGGCCGAGGACCACCCCAGCAGGAGGACGTGTTATCGGTGAGGTTGCCCATCCTTTGGTAAAAGCCACGTACGCGATTTCGTCCGCGTGCCGGCCGTTCTGCCGCCGTCGCCATCTTTTCGTGTTTCGCGACCGCTCGAGCCGTTTGCCGAGACGGTGATATTTCGTGAATTTGTCGGGCGACCGGAGGCAAGCGACCGAGGAAGGACCATTGTAACGTCGGCGATAAATTGATAAGGCAACGTTCGTCTCTCTCCGGGTTTCGGGTGTTCTTTACGCGAAGCTATCGACCGGCGAATATCGACCGCGTGCGCGAAGGATCGTGAAAGCGAATACCGCACGGGTTGTCGTACCGCCGTTGTCGCCGCGTAGAATATCCCGTGACGTATCTCAGGGCGATTTTTGGATGTCTAATAGCGTGTATGTCGTCGGTAATTGTAAGAGTGAGTGTGAGCGTTTTTGGGTATTTCTTTGTCGAGTGAGCGTGAAAGTAATTGCGTCGTCGTCGCGCTTATTACGCCGCCGAAAAGAGCGTAATAAAGAATAACAGATTATGGTCGTCTTTGTCGCGCTTGTTACGCTGTCGAATGGCGCGTAATAAATAATATGTAGCGTCTACCGAATTTATTGTGGTGCGAGATAATCGCCAGAGACTTGAGAGTAAAATTGAGCGATTCGGGCGGAAGAAAGAGGCGAGATATCGGCGGAGAAAATTCTCCGTTTGCCGTCGGCTATAACAGCTTGAGAATAGCGTTCGTTTATCGCATATATGATCCGTCTTCGCAAAATTATTCTGTATTTTCGGTTAATTATGTTGTCGAATTATTAAGTTGCCGATTTGTTCCGCGAATTAGGGAATTGCGGGGAAAATTCCGTTGCGATAAGTGGTAGATCTGGCTATAGAAATTATGCTCTCGTTTGAATGATATCCGCGAATATTTTTGTACCGAAAATTCTTATTATTCCGTAAAGCCTCGCTCAGTCCTGCGAACTCCGACCATAAAAACGGGTTCGGATAAATAACCGGATAGTATTAGCGCTCTCATTTTTATTGTCGATTCGAGCGGATACTCGCTCAGAATACCGTCGCAATTTTGGGCCAGGGTTAATTATATGGTATTTTTCGCTCTTGTAGTTCGTTTGAATTTGTCGGACAGCGTCGTTTTTTTTTGTTATTTGTACGATTCGTTCTCGCATTGCGGGGAAGTAATAGCGAAATAATATCTTTGTCAGGAATTGTGAATCTCAGTCAAGTTATCGCTTAATATTGTTGGCTGAGTCATTGTTCAAAACCGATTCAAGTCTTGTTATGGATTTGTTAATTAATCACTCGCAGTGTTACTTTAATTTTCTAGTAATAAACTTGTTATTTTTTTTTGTTCAAATCGCGTAATTTATTTAAGTGTTCGTCTCGCTTGGTTGTCGATTGTCGTTTTGTCTGTCGTCCGTTAATTTCGCGAAGACTCGCATAATCAATTAACTTTCTCTAATAATCCCTCCCCTCTACCGTTAGGCGAGCTAGTCGGCCCGTGGCGAAGCAGGCTATCGTTTTCTTTTAACGTCTTTCGGCTTTTTCGCGAAAACTGATGCGTGAAAGACCGCATCTGGCGCCCAGCTTTTCGATATATCGATACGGTCTCCGCTCCGCCGCGGCTCGCGCGAGAACGTCCTCCATCCCTGTTCCTCAGAACGCGAGTACAATAATTTCGTTATTGTTTTTGACGGCGTTTTCGCTCCCCCGCGCACACTCCCATCCAACATCTCGAGGAGTGTCGCGATTCATTTTGAATCTCAATTGAATAAACGTCGCAATGTATTTGTCAATTATTGTCTCTTTTTTGTTGGTTTTATAGGTCCGTTTCTATTTGATATATTATTTTATTATGTGAAGTTAAATTTTATATTACTGTTGAAAATTAAGTATTTAATTCTTAAAGATTTATTTTTAATATTTATTATGAAAATTTTATCGTATATATTTCTGACATATATGTACACATCTGTATATACTTTAAGTATGAAAGATATTAATTAATCTTATTCGTACATTGGTCTTACACAGATATTAAAATTATTTATCATAACGATTTTTGTTCAATCTACTGTTGGTTTAATACTTTTTATTGATGATATAATCTTTCGTAATTTTCATGCATTATTTATGGGTAATTGACATTTATCTATTTTATTAGTTATTTATTATTTAAAAATTTACAAGATATTGAATCTAAAAATTTTATGTTCTGAATTTTTATTTTATAATGTTATGTTGTTAAATTTATATTGAAATATTCTTATTCATACTTTATAAATTTATTAATATTAATCATATGATGTCGAATCTTTAAATTTTAATTAAACTATAAGAATAATTATTTCCTTTTATTGACATAAAATTATTTGAATGAAATTTATACTAATTGTGATTGTTCCTTTTCAGGTTTTCACGATAATGAGTAATTATATGTTGGTCAAGGGGAGATTATAAATAAAAGGTTATACATTGTAAGTAAATGTTTTCCCATTTTATTTGTCTGTTATTTTATTGGTTTCATGTATAATTTTATCAATATAGAAGATAATTTTATTTGTTAATTAATTTTAAGTCTTTAAAGTATTAAGTTTGTAACGATGCATCCCGGTGCATCGTTACGATTCCCGGCATATCCGGAAGCTGCCGCCCGGCAGAACACCCGCCGGGCAGAGGCAGGGGCGCGGTGCGCCCACTTTTTTTAAACTTTCAAAAACCGTTCGGATTAAAATTCGGCACCGCCAAACAAAGCCGATGTGGCCCGAACCGTCGACCGGCGAAAGCCCGCGTTCGGCTCCTACCCGAATCCTTCCGGACGGGCCCGACCGTACCGTTTTCC